GGTATCTCTGAAAAGCCCTGAATGTGCTCTGTACAGGACATCCAGACTTAAAACTGTGACATGTAACGTCTCAGAGAAATCACTAAAACATAATGTCCTCTACAGAGGACAAAACTCCATAGCTGGTAGTCAGGAGGATAGTGGAGTGTTAACAACTAATAAAGAGACATGAAGGTGTGTGTGTGTGTGTGTGTGTGTGTGTGTGTGTGTGTGTGGAATTATGTGTAGCCTATGTGTAGTAACTTTCTGCTGAAAACTATCTTTCCTTCCATCCCTCTGTTTTTCCTCCAACCCACCCACCCATTCCCGCTGTAGCTTGAGGCGATGTTGTTGAGTTTAAATGTTGAGGTTGTTTCTCTTTAGTGTGTGAGACTCCACGCTGTCTCTGACTCCTTCAACCAAAACCACAGAACACCCCCTCACACACACACTCACACACACATAGTATATCCCCTCTTTCCTCACTTGCGCTTGTTCTCTCTATTCTCTTTTTCACTGTCTGACTCAAGCAAAGTCTGAAGTGTGGATCATACTTTGTTTTTTGGATCATACAAAGACCATAAAGATCATAAAGCAACACACATACACACACACACACACACACACACACACACACAAACACAAATACACTCCAGAGAGCATTAGAGTTTATATCACTATTAGATAGTTATAAAATGCTTTATAAGCAGAATATGAGTGTATTTTCCCAAAATGAAATCACATTTTCCTCTCTCTAAGTGTACTTTCATTCTGTTTTTCTTTTAAACAGAGAGCTCAGAAAGAAGAGATGGATCAGATTGAGAAACATATCAAGTCTTCAAAAGATAAAGAAAATGCAAAACCACTGGACAAGCCTGAACAGTATCTATCTATCTATCTATCTATCTATCTATCTGTCTGTCTATCTGTCTGTCTGTCTGTCTGTCTGTCTGTCGTTGTATTTTCCTTAAGTCATTCGTTTTTCTCCCTCTCTCTAATAGGTTTCTGCTGCAGTTGTCAGAGGTTCCTCAGTTCTCGGAGCGGGTTTTCTGTATTCTCTTCCAGTCCACCTTCACAGAATGTATTACATCAGTTCAGCGCAAGCTTGAAACACTGCTGAGAGTCTGTACGGTGAGAGAGAATGTGAAGCACACTAGTCAGATTCTACTGACAGCTTCACCATTGTCATATTCAAGTTAAAAGTTCAACTAGAAAGCAGTGAAGAAAACATCTGTTTCACTCCCTCGCTTCCTCTTCTCCCTCTTCTGTTTAAAGGCTCTACAATCAAGTCAAGCCGTCCTGCAGGTTCTAGGTTTGGTTCTAGCATATGGGAACATTATGAACGGGGGCAACCGGAGCAGAGGACAGGCAGACGGATTTACCCTAGACATCCTACCCAAGTTAAAAGATGTCAAGAGCAGTGTGAGTAAAAATGAGATCCCTATCACTAGTTTAAAAGGATTGTTCACACTAAAATGAAAATTCTGTCATCATTTATTCATCCTCATGTCATTCCAAACCTGTATGACTTACTTTCTTCTGTGGGACACAAAAGAATGTTTCTGTCTGTTTTATCCATACAGTGAAAGTCAGTGGGGTCCTAACATTGCACTCTGTTGACTATCATTTTATTTTTATTTTTCCATTTTGCAAAGTGAATTTTCTGTGAATTTGCGAGACTTCAGATTCGTCAGCTGCTATTGATAAAAAAAAAAAAAAATTCCTTGTAAACTGTAAAAAAATATTTGTACTCCAAACCAGTGTGTTTATGAATATGATAATAAATTAAAATAATATGTTAAAAGAATGGTTTCCCCAAAAATTAAAATTCTGTCATTAATTACTCACCCTCATGTCGTTCCAAACCAGTAAGACCTTTGTTCATCTTTGGAACACAAATTAAGATATTTTTGATGAAATCCGAGAGCTTGCCTGACAAAGAAGAGAAGAAATTGTTGAATAAAGTCATTAGTTTTGTTTTCTTTGCACACAAAAAGGATTCTCGTAGCTTCATAAAATTATGGTTGAACCACTGATGTCACATGGACTATTTTGATGATGTCCTTACTATCTTTCTGGAACTTGGTAGTTGCGTTGTTGTCTATGGAGGGTCATAAAGTTCTTGGATTTTATCAAAAATATCTTAATTTGTGTTCTGAAGATGAATGAAGGTCTTAAGGATTTGGAACGACATGAGGGTGAGTAATTAATGACAGATTTTTAATTTTTGGGTGAACTATCCCTTTAAGAAATACAAGTTTGCAAGCAGCATAACAGGCTGTTTTTGTACAGGTAAAAATTCCTATAAAATACATGTTTACTAATATTTTCCAAAATATCTTATTTTGCCTTACACAGAAGAAAGAAGGTCATACATGTTTTGAATGGCTTGATGGTAAGTAAATAATGCCAAAATTCAGATCCACCACATAGACCAGCACTGAAATAGCATAAACCTTAGTCTGAACTGCATGGAAATTTGCAGACAGTACTTTGATAGTCTCCTGACCCCACTAACCAGGCCATAAAGAACCGTTCTGGCAGTATCACTCAATATGAGCGGTTTATACTTTATTATGCCAAGGCGGTAGCCTATATCCACATCCCATGTGGTCTGTGTGTCTGCACACATGTGCATGTGAGCGAGCGCCTTTGCAAGCCACCAGGTCTGGCATCTTATTCACAAACGCTTTGAGCTAAACGAGTGTATACAATCCCAAAACATGAAAAATGATTATTCTCCTGTGTTTATTTCCATCTCTCGTCTCCTCCTCCTCTCGCTCCATCAGGATAATTCTCAGAGCCTCCTGTCCTACATAGTTGCTTACTATCTGCGACACTTTGATGAGGTAGGTTTGGCCAACTGTTTATTTCACTGGCTTGACTAACAGACCCCCAGGTCCCTTAGAATCACCCTTCATGGTAGACAAAAAAGTGGCTTTGTTTTTGGTTTCATCACTTTGATTTGCCTTTCTTTCCCTTCACCATATAGACAAATGGCCGCTTTGAATGAGCAGAGGCCTTTGATTGCTTGATGCCCTTTTTGGACGTAGATTAAAAGTGCTGTATTGTAAATACCATCAGCAGTCGGTCCAGATGTTGTGATTACGAGGTAGTGTCCAAATTGACAAAATATGATCCACTGGTTGTTGAAGTGCTTCTAACGTTCAGGCAAATAACAAGGAGAGAGCATGTGTGTGTGCGTGTGCATGTGCATGCAGGCGGCTCTGATCTCCGACAGACGCAGCGTTATTGAGATTGATTTGTTGTGTTTGATGTTTTCATTGTTTTTCGAATCATAATGATCTTTACACACCAAACTATTTGAACAATTCACATTCAATTATTTTTCAAATCAACCGTTGCTATAGTTATGATCTCATAAACACAACATCCTGTTTTTTTGTATGATTGCACTTTAGATTTTCCATTGTTTGTGTGTCAGGATGCAGGTAAAGAAACATGCGTGTACCCACTTCCAGAGCCTCAGGATCTGTTTCAGACTTCGCAGATGAAGTTTGAGGATTTTCAACGTGACCTACGCAAGCTACGGAAAGATCTGAATGGTGAGATGTGGACACACGCAAACGCAAAGCAAATAAATGAATACACACAGGCTTTACACACGCTTCCATGCATATACATGAGATCACATACGTGCAAACACATGTGGACATACACACATACCCACAAACATGAACTCACATACAAGTGTGCATATACAAAAACACACAGACATGTTTAGTTTGTATACACCAGCGTCAATGACCCGTGTTCTCCTTTAGAAGGCTCATTGATTTTCAAATGGCTGTTTTTATTGAGCCCCCAGCTGGCTGCCACAATGATCAATACTGCAAATGTGGTTTGTTAAAGGCCCCACCATGTAAATAAATGAGAAAAAGGGGTCATTTCAGCACTTTTCTTAGGGGTCTAAGCTGTTTTTACAGGCCCAAAGCACTTAACTCCAGGTTTCTGCAGGTGAACTGTCCTTATGCCATATTTATACATTACCATTCAAAAGTTTGGGGCCAGTATGATTTTTTTTTTGAGTTCACAAAAATACTTTTATTGAGCATGGATATATTAAACTGATCAAAAGTGACAGATACATCAATACTATTCTGTAAATGCTGTTCTTCTAAGCTTAATTTTTTTGGGGGGAAATGTTATTTTAAGCAGCACAACTGACAATCAACATATTAGAATGATTTCTGAAGGATCACGTGATACTGAAGACAAGAATTTGTATACACCAGCGTCAATGACCCGTGTTCTCCTTTAGAAGGCTCATTGATTTTCAAATGGCTGTTTTTATTGAGCCCCCAGCTGGCTGCCACAATGATCAATACTGCAAATGTGGTTTGTTAAAGGCCCCACCATGTAAATAAATGAGAAAAAGGGGTCATTTCAGCACTTTTCTTAGGGGTCTAAGCTGTTTTTACAGGCCCAAAGCACTTAACTCCAGGTTTCTGCAGGTGAACTGTCCTTATGCCATATTTATACATTACCATTCAAAAGTTTGGGGCCAGTATGATTTTTTTTTTGAGTTCACAAAAATACTTTTATTGAGCATGGATATATTAAACTGATCAAAAGTGACAGATACATCAATACTATTCTGTAAATGCTGTTCTTCTAAGCTTAATTTTTTGGGGGGGAAATGTTATTTTAAGCAGCACAACTGACAATCAACATATTAGAATGATTTTTGAAGGATCACGTGATACTGAAGACAAGAAACGACTGCTGAAAATTCAGCTTTCCCATATAAAATAGCTTGCATTTTATAATATATTAAAGTAGAAAACTGTTATTTGAAATCATAATTTCATAGTATTACAATTTTAATGTACTTTTCATCAAATAAATGTAGCCTTGGATCAAATAAATGCAGCCAATTGTTTCAATTTAGTTTGATAGTTTGAGTTTTATATAACATTTAGACATTCTGGTAATAGGAATGAAAAATTCATGATTACAGTATAAATCCATTCATATTTTTGTTTGATAGTCCACATTTTCTAAAGGTTAACACATCTTTTCACTTAACATTTGTGAAAAAATTAAATAAATATATAAATGAATTTCAGATTTTGTACCCTGCTAGTAGGAAATTCCATATATTCTGGTGTTTTTGAAAAGAAACTAGCAGGCAGGTAAAAGGCTTAAACTGCCTTATAAGTACTCGCTTTGCTCCCTGACCAGTAAAGCAGTTTATCAGGGTCTTCAGGAGGTTAGTGAGATTGGTTCAGCTTTGTGCCGCAAGTCAAAGGTTGTATGACAAGTGCACGACGGTGTGAATGAGGTGTAAGAATCTGATTACATGCTCAAAGCCGAGTTTAAATCCCTGCAAACATTTTCATTGCCAACACAAAAACACACACACACTCACACAGATGTGGAAATACTCACATTCCACTGTCGGTGTGTTTGGCTTGTTCAGATCCTTGAAAAAAATACTCGTGGATGTTGATGTGGTCAAATTAGAACACTGCCCTACATCAAAAACACATTTACAATCAATCACTTATCCAGAGTGAGATTGTCTACCACTCACAAATAATAACGTCCAAGCCTTTTTAGTTCCACTCGAAGCAGTCATACATATCAGATGGATTTGCATTTGGCTCATGGAAATTTCGATTGAAGGATGGTCGCTTTGATGCATTGCTATACAGCCTATTAGCTTCGCCCCTGCTGTTAGCCATATTTTCGCGTGCCTTCGCTAGAATCCCTAGTTGGCGATTTGCATTGTTAATCTTTCAAAAGCTTATTAGTTAGGCCCACTATACATGTGGTTGATAAATTGTAAATGTACTTTTCCAGAGCTTGTATGCTTAGCTAAATCGTTTTGGCGTACACCTGCTGAACAGATCAAGCCTACGTTTGTTTAACGCAGACAAATATTTCTTCTCTGGCAATGTTCTGTTTCTCTCTGAATTCTCAACTGTTCACATCCCTAAAATCTCCCTGTGGCCCAATAAGCATGGCTTCTCTCTTACGCCAGGCTCATACAATAAGTGGATCATCACTACATTAGCAAGCTAAGCTAAGCGCTAAAGCAGATGTGCAACACTGACAGCTGGAAGGGGCACAGAGTTATGCGGGCGACCCGGCAGGTCCTTGCTTTCACAGAGCCCTTGATCCAGCTGGCAGGGACATTAGCATGTGTGTGTTTGCATTGCGCTGATTGCCATGCGAGGCTGTGATCCATCACAGACTGTAGTGATGGAGTGTGACATGGTGAAGCCTGTCGGCCTGTTGTAAGACTCCAGGTGTACAGCGAACAGAAGCGAAGGAAAGGTTCATGAAATGGGATTCATTAGCATCTGTTAGCACAGGTCACAGACTGCAAATTTTTTTCTGTAGTGATACATCTATGAAGTGTTGGAAGTGGAAGCAGGAGGAATGTACTGTAACATGCTAACCTGCTAATAAAAGTCCATGCTAGTTGAAATGCTAGTGCTGGTCCTGACAGTTTAATCAGTGAAGACTGGTTGAGAGAAGTTTAGCCGTGTGGGGCCAACGCTGTGCTAGTCTTTTTAAGATATCTGGCTGACTTGCCCAAGAATCCCTACAATGTGTCTTTTAATTAATTAATCATTTTGTTTGTTTCTTTCTCATATCTGTGTTCCTACTCTCTACTTTATTTTACAGCCTGTTCAGCAGAAACAGAAAAGGTGTGTAATGTCTCGTCTGAGGAGCAACTGCAGCCCTTTAAGGACAAAATGGAAGAATTTCTCACTAGAGGTAAAAAAAACATTGCAAACATAAGCCCTGTTCAGACGGTTATTGTTTTACATGGGGATGTTATGTTACTTTCTGATTTTATTGCCACTCCAGAAGGAATTTTCCTTTTGCATCTCATGGATTTAAACAAAAAGTAATATTAGCCATTAGAAATTTATTATTGGAGTGAATTCCAGCTTTTATTTTTGAAAAACATCATTTGTGGGAGTGCATTCCAAAGGCGGTTCATGATACAGTTTTTTGGCATCCTCCGGGTGTTTTTTACTATGAATCGACCATGCTCTGAGATGCATATATATATGCATCAAATGGGCAACAAATGAATAAATTAAGAGTGGGTTTTTTTTCAGTTGTACAATATAAACAAATATTTATATTTAAATACTCACTTTTTATTTTATATACAGCAATGTTTTTCTAATACATTACTTATTTTAAAATAAAAAATATATAAAAATAAATAATATTTAATAATAATCACAAAATAACATTGTTATTTTATAGTCAGTTATTAAAAACAGTGGGAATGTAACCTATCAAAACTCAAGTGGAAGGAGAATTTCTTAAAAAACGATTCACTTTATGGTTACTGAAAAAGGTTTGAGTTGGTTCTTGTAACAAGTAAACCCAAATGTGAACACTCAAAGTTGTCGAGTTTTTCCCAAATTGTTCATCGATTGTTCATTCAGGGTGGTTCACACTCAACAAAAACAAGTCATCAAAGTAAAAAAAAAAAGTCAGCTTTTTAAATTTATTTTATTTTCTATGCAAATGCACTTCCCAACAAAATCATTCTAAAATGATTCAGTCTTTTCAAATATAGCTATTCAAGTCCCTCATTCCCTCGTCCAAATACGTATTACAGAGAAGCCATGCAAATATTCTTTTACAGACGTCACCTTGGGAAACAGTTAAAGTCTGAATAATGCTGGGATGGATGTACAGTGTGACCCTGTGTGAGAGGAGAGATGAGGTGCTGAGAAATAAATGTGACAGAGGCTCTGTGATGGCCTCTGGGAGCCAACAAGAATTCTGGGAAATACATCTGACCTGACCCAGACCCAATCGCTCCAACATTATTTATGTAAAGCTAGTGACATGAAAAGTGAGAGTCCTTAATTTCATTAATCTCACTAATTTCATCCACGTTCCACCCCAACGCGGTAATGGCTAATTCAACCCTTTCAGTATTTTGTTTCTGTGATGAAGGCGAGCCGAACGATCCGGCGATTGTGTTTTATTATAATTGCTCTCCTTCTTGTTTATTTACCTTCTCTATTCTCCATCTCTGCTTCGATCCATCTCTGTTTGATATGGTTTCTGTTCTCTGGTTTATTTCCTCTAAGTGTGTCTGAGTCAACCTGCCTGATCTGTCTGTAGCACTGAAGACTGTTTATGTCGGCACTTTATTCTCGTCAACAATTCATTGGCCTCTTTTCATCTTTCGCACTCCAATCATCTTCAATTGCCATGGCGTAACCTTTTTTTCCATCGCTCAACTTGGAGTTAGCTGGAACATCTTTCTATTTTTCATTCTCTGCTTCACTACAGGCTTAAGCAAATGCTTAATGCATTGCCTTCTCTCTTTCTTTGTATTCAAATTGGTCCTTGTAACAAAACCCACATGTGCTCTGGCGGCAGGGTGGGGTCTTCGCTGAACGGCCCCCTCCTCATCTCTACCCCTTTGATCTGGAGACTCGTGGGTCTCCTTCACTGAGCTCTCAGATGGGTGACATGACCACGGAAAGATCCCCTTCAACCCTCCACACTGCCTCCAGTTAGAGAAACAGACAGAACAGGGATCGGAAAAAAAGGACTGGTCTTATTTTTTGTTATTTGTATGATTTTGAAACTCCAGGAGAGTAACAGTCTCTGGCTCCAGCGCTTCAACCACTACTGTTTATTTTTCAGAGCATGAAATTAACTACAGAAAGGAAGAGAGGAAGAAAAACTGAGTGAGACAGGCGTGTGTATGTGTGTGAAAGATGTGCTGTTTGGTCTACATCTTCTCATACCATTTTTTTTAATGCTGTACTATTTCCTCTGCCCTGGGCACTGAGAAGCAATGTGATAATCCATTTACTGTGGTAACAGGTACAATATATAATAGTAATAGTTATGAAAGCCTCAGCTATCACCACTACCGATCAAAAAGTTGAATGCTTTTTTTGAAGCACAAATGCTTTGAGCAACATTTTAAGTCAGTTTAAAATGTTGGGTCCATGAGGTGTGAACTGAAGTGATCTGTGTTTTGGGGATTCTCGGGTTGCACAGAATTGTAGTGGTGAGTGGTATGAAAATGTGTACGAATACTGGGCTCGTCATTCAATTTATTAGTGGATCACAGGAGACTCTCCATGCAGGAGTAAATGAAGTGACATTGACATTACCGCGGTAATGACTTCAGAGACCTGCTTCTCCGTCTGCAGTCAAACTATGCCTCATCAAATGTTCATGCTGAGACTATTTGCTAATATGATTTTACAATGATTTGCTCCTTGACATTTTATGTCAGCGGATTACAACTGGCTTACGTGTAATCAGATTTTCGAGGGTTTATGTTTGTCATGAAGATCATAACCTGCAAAGACTTACAGAGACACCTCTCACTTTGACCGAAATGGGAGTATGTTTGTTTAAAACTGGAACAAATCTCTGATAGCCTTTTCCTGATAACCCGTGTCATTCAGTGACAAGCAAAACAAAACCATATTTTAAAAGTATAAAAGTCTGTGTCACATTTACAATGTCCTATTTTTATTCCCACAGCCAAAGCAGAGCTGGAGCTCCAGGAAAAACAGCTCGCTGACACGCAGAGGATGTAAGTTGTCTTACTGTGTTAACCATGCCAAGTCTCTTGTTCACTTATTATTGTGTCATATTGGTTATGTCTCCTCTGAGTGTGTGTGTTTGTGCATTAGCATCCACTTCTCTATCTCTCTATTTTTGTGTGATTTTCCCTCACTTGTGGATTACTAATAGTGCAGTTCGCTAAGATTGATTGACAGTTTGTAGACTGTCTTCTTTAAAAGTGTCTGTTTTTCAAAACCTTGGCTTTTGGAGTGGAAAAAAGAGCAAATATGCCACGTCAGTTAATTCTAAAGGTCTTTGTGTTCATTGTCTGAATGTTGCCGTTTCTTCCAAGTACTAGTCTTAAGATTGCTGTGGGCGAAAAGAAATTACACTTGTCGTTCTTTATGTAAGAGCATTATTTTTATAAACTAAAATTTCACATTTCACATGCTTGAAGTAAGCCGATCAGTTTCACAATTCCTCAGTGTAAACTTTCTAATCTTATTTTGTAATATTTTGTTCATAGTGTAATGCTTTTCTTTGAATGCTTTCCAGTTTTCTGGAGCTGAGCGTGTTTTTCTCAGTCAAGCCTAAGGCGGGAGAGAAGGAGGTTTCACCAAACACATTCTTCACAGTGTGGCACGAGTTTTCATCAGATTTTAAGGAGCTCTGGAAGAGAGAGAATAAATGCCTACTGCAGGAGCGGTGAGGAATATTATGCCTCTGTTGCTATTTTGTTTGTCTGATTGTCTTCACTGCAAGTCACCTTTATTTCTATAAGGTTTTAAAACAGCTCTAAAAGACAATAGTGTCATTATTTAGCTCAAGTCAGTCACTGCAATTCATTGAATTTAATTTGCATATATTTTAGGTTGAAAGCTGCAGAAGAGACTTTCAGACAAGCACGAGAGAAGGCTACCTACAACGTAAAACCTAAACATGCATCAGGGATAGTAAGTATTTAAAAATCCCTCGATTCACATTACAAGCAATGAATAACGGACTCTTAACAGTGTAAACTCTAATTGCAACCATGACGTGTTTCACTTTCTTCTCACTCAGAAAGCCAAGCTGGGACAGAAGATGTGAATTTCTGCTGTACTGAATCCAACAAAACTCCTTGTTTAAAACAAAAAGTGGATCCCATTGCAAGAAATAAAAAATATCCATGTCCAGGCACTCACATAGCAGGCAAAATATAAAAAGCCTTTATTGTAAGACAGGGCTACATGTTAAAAAACACCAACACGTATCAGCCCAAACAGGCCTTTGTCAGGGTGTCATATTTTGCCTGCTATGCGAGTGCCTGGACGTGGATTTTGTTTGTTACTTGCAATGGTATCCACTTTTTGTTTTTGACATTTTGTTCCCTCTCTGGAGCACTCATAGTATCGCTTGTGAGTACCTGATGCGCCCCTGGTCAATACTTTTTTCTTTGATTAAAACTCCTTGTTTGCCCGGTTCTTTCTTTGTTTTCTACTTAACAGTTACTTCAGTATAAGAATAGCCATGAGAAGGTTTGCATTATTTTAGTACATGAACGTGGTCAGAATTTTGTCATTTCTGTAGTTTCATATGAAGACAATCAAAGCTTAAAGGTCTCCTGAAATGTTTAGAAACATGCAGCTTTACTCTATGTGTTGACGTCATTTTATCTGAAACAGGAAGACAGGGCGGGACATATCAAGCAGCCTTTTTAAAATAGCCAATAGCGTTCGTTTATATCACAGCTTGGGCTAGAGCCGTTGAGCTCCATAAAGCCGCATTTGACAGGGTATGCCAGCCACAATCTCATCCATATTGCTATAAAATATAGCATTCTGTGTAGAATTCAAATAGCTCCGATACATTTTGTGGTCTGCGCCGACTCGCGCATGTGATCCGCTCCGTGCTATCGTGTCTCTGGACCGGAGCAGAGTGTGGTGTGTGTGCGCACCGCGGTTAGCGTGACGCAGCGCGAAACCAGACTTCTTTTTTTCCTCAATGGAAAGCATATTTACACTGTTTGAATCGTTCCCTGTCCCCTATATAGTGCACTACGTGCCATTCACTGTACAGAAAATACTAATTCTGTGGACAAGTGACCGATTTCAGCCGCGGCTTCAGCGTCTATTTTATAGTGTAGGGGGTGGGCGCTTCTGATTCTAGAGAGCATTTGATTGGACAGAAAGACAGAACGTAAAAAAAAATTGTTGAGCCGTTTTGGCGGAAGTGACGAACTGCAAGCTTTGAATGCTTATATCTCCTAAATGCGAATTTTGTCACTGTTTTGGAGCACACTGCCTGATAGATAACCTTAAGACTAACATATTGATACTAACACCCAAAAAAACGTTAATTTTGATTTCATGGGGACTTTAAAGTGCCCATATTATGATCATTTACAAGTTTTTTTTTGTAGCCTAATAGAAGACATTTTGATTTAAAAAACATTTTTCTCATTTCTCATGCATTGCTGTAGCACCACTCTCTCTTTTACTTCCTATCTCTTTAAAGCCTACCATTCCAAAAAGCCAAGTCTGATCTTGGTCTGCTGGTCAACCGCTTACAGCATGTCAGAAATGTACCTTTACAGTTTTCAGCTCCAACTATGGCGTCGTTGAAAGTCCATTCTATTTTTTCTTTGAGGGTGGGCCAAAGCAAGCCAGTCTGTGAGCATTATGCAAATGTATATCATGGTGACATAGAAGCTAAGTCATGAAATAATGGCAGGACAACAAACGAGGCATTTCAGGCAAGTGTTTTCTGTTAGAGAGATTAACTCCCTTTGGCATGGACTTTGTGCTTTGTAATTTTGCAGATCATTTACATGCACAAACACAGTACAGAAAAGGTAAAATAAAAAAGCATAATGCTGTAGGTGCACTTTAAAGCCATACATTGAAACAGTCTAGCCACTATTTTACAAAAGCACATTGAATATTTAGTATACATTGATTAGTATACACAAAATCTGCACATTTATTTTCATATCTTCTGTCAAGAAAGTACCAAAAGCTCTATTGTAACCTGTGTATTTAATTGTCATAAAATAGCACTCTTATTTGCACTCTTAGAGCAGATAAATAGTGGATTTCATACAGGTTGACTAATTAAACAATCTGCTTCTAAATAATGTTTGTTTATGCTGAACTGGCAATGACATTTAGGAAAATGGAATAACTGAATACATAATGAAATGGCAATCTCGGATATAATATCTATGTAAAGTCATAAAAATGTGTGTTTTGGTGATTCATATGAAGAGCCACAGCCATCTTATTCTTTAAATGGAAATTTGATAATATTCTGCGTCCATAGTTTCCTCTACAGGTGTTTATATACTTCAGCCTATGAAATTGACATAGAATTGAGTGATATGTTGTGAGTTTCTCTGTTCCAACTGAACTGTGAGGTGTTTAATGAACGGTTGTTGAGAAACATATGCAAATATTATGATTTATGACTTATACCATTCTTTGTTTTGTGTGTACAGCTGTTGTCAGTAGTTCAATAACCTTTAATTTACCTAAATGCATTTTCAATTAAATAAGCTGACAGCTTTATAGCTCATGCATGATCATTGCTGTGCTATTCTCTGTGTTGCATTAAGAAATGAAGAACTGAAGCAGCTGCCGAATGAATAATTTCCATTTCCATTAGGAGAAACTGTAATTTACTAACACAAAGGTGCATAGAAAATACGAAAAAAAGCAAAAATCGTATTGTAATGTGAAATAATAGATTTATTTTTAGAAGACATGTTTATTACATATTTTACATATATTCATAGATTTTCTATGGTTGCTTTGTCATATAATTTTCTTTATCTACACATTTTTTGCTATTTTGTTAAATATTGTCATTAATGCAAACATGCATGTTAGACTTTAAGGTAAAGATTTAAACCATTATGAATCTCAGTTTATGTTGTGCACATGACTCATCATAACTCAAACTCTCTATGGGCTTGATCAAAGTCAGCCCAGAATGGATGAACTGAAACCAGCGGCATCATTTCCATCGGATGCAGCAAAGCTAATGGCAGCACCAAGTCAAAATATTTTAAACGCTTTGCGGGCTTGATCAAAGTCAGCCCAGATTGGATGAACTGAAACCAACAGCATCATTTCCATCGGATGCAGCAAAGCTACTGGCAGCACCAAGTCAAAATATAGTTTATCCTCAACTGACAGCCTGTCCTTAGTCAAAATATAGCAACCCCCCCTTTAATTTCCTGTCGATAAGGTCCACAGTCACCCAGCATCCTTTCATGTCTTCTCCTGTCCTTCATTAGCGCTGATATATACAACGGCTGGGTAGGTAAGACAAGATAGTGAAGATAGATGGTGGTCAAACCGCTTCCACTGTTCTCAAGTATCAAGACTAATAGAGTGCAACAGTGCCCTCCCAATATTTCAGCAGCCTTGATTCCGAAAGTATTTCTCCCATTCATTTTTCATTGACGGATTTTTAAAACATTTTTGTTAAAGAGTTAAACCAATAGCTAAGAAGTGAATCACAACATTACAAAATTAAATTTTTTTTTTGAAAATGACAAAGCTACAAGACTGTACTTGATTTTAATGAGAAAAAGAACTACAATCCCAATGACGTAATCAAAATTAAAACTATGTATAAATATAAAACTATTGATTTAAAGATGTTGATTATATATTGAGGGTTTTTTTTTTTTTTGGTAAAATATGCATCTATATATATATACATTTTTAAGTAGTTAGAGTGTATGGAGACTGGCTATTACACCATTAGCAGTGGCCAGCTCTATTCTGATTGGTTTTTGCAGAATTATGGGTAATGTAGTTTTTCATCAGGAATTCAAACATTTAATATAATTATTTACAAAAAGGAGAACATGGTTATGGCTTCAACAGAGGCATATACCATCTATTAACAACATCATGTCTGTCTCTAAAGGTTTGTAAGTTATCAATTAAAATGAGTTAAAGCAATTCCCCAATGGAGAATTTTAACTTCCGGAACCCTGACTGTTGCACTCTATAGAGAATCAGTATTGCTGAGGTAAAGCAGGAGATAAGCTGGAATACAGACGCTCCATGTTTTGCTAAAGAAAAGCTTTCAAGAGGTCAAAGGTCAATCACTGTTCATTTAAAACACATGAATGTTATTTACTCTTTCAGTCTTGTATGTAATTGTACTCTCAGCTTGAATATATTTGTCAAAAAAGAAGAAAAATCCAGCTTTGTGTTCCATTGCTGCTCGGCAGCTATTAAGCATTCCCGGGTAGCATACTGTGGTACAGTCCAGACATAATGAAGGTGGCCAGTCTTCTGATTAGCTGTTGTCTTTGGCAGGTTTCACACATTGATTGTTGGGTAGTGTTGGGTCGTTCTTGAACGATTCGTTCGTTTTGAACGAACGTTTGCGTAAGTAGTAGACATATTAGGGAAGTAACACGTAACATTTTAATTATATTTTGTTAAAATGAACGAAATGACTCGAAAAAAGATTCGTTCATTTTGCTGAACGAGACTCAAAGGTCCGAGTCGGTAAAATGATCCGAACTTCCCATCACTATTGTTGGGCGGCCCCAGTTTTTCCAAAAGGATTTTGAGGCATTGTTTCATTTGTGTGCCTTCTCAGTACGCGGCATTGACGTTAACAGACACACATTTGCACTGCTTGATTCGCTGCACTTTCCGTTGCCGGTATGGTGGCTGGAGCCCAGGACAGTGAAGCCGTACGGTGACCGTAGTTATTCGGCTGGGCCGACAGAAAGCACAGGACTGGAATGAAGTGTTGTGGTCTGGCGTGGATGCTGTTTTTCGACTTCGATGTGAGGTTTGAGACGTCAGGTGGCGGGGGATGTAGAAGGAGTTACACTGGCCGTAGCAGAACCTGTTGATGACTGTTCGGCTCAGGCACCCCTCCAGGCTCACTGTTTGACGTAACGGCTGTGTTTTGCACCAGTCGCTCTTCAGATACTTCCTCTCGGTGACCACCAGGGCCTCGCGACTCGACGACAGCATGTCATGTTTGCCCTTCTGTCGTCGTGCTGATGTGTGCTGGGACAGTGACGCTAGTGTGTGGGATGGTGATGACAGATCATTGCCTTTTAGCTTGTAAGGGGAGGGGATGGAACCCTGGGGCCGTGGCTTCTTGGTCTCTGTCGATACAAAAAGGGTCCATGCCAAAATGGCAGGTATTGCCAGCTTCCAGAACATCCTGAGAAAAGATTCAAAATAGGGAGAAACTTGAGTGCTTCTGTTAGGGATTCAATTATATACATTGTCAAAGGAATAGTCTTTCATTATACTAGGGCTGTGCAATTAATCACATGTGATTGTCATGCGCATCTCGTCAGTAAAGCCGGTTCCGTGATTGGTAGTAAATCGCCATCACCTGCTTTCAGATGGAGCGGCATTTACTACACAGAGCCGTAGTTTACTGACAAGCTAGGCGATATTGCGTTCATAATCGAATGCGATTAATCTGCGATTATGAACGCGATATTGCCTAATTGTCAGTGAACTATGGCTCTGTGTAGTAAATGCCGCTCCATCTGAAAGCAGGTGATGGCGATTTACTACCAATCACGGAACCGGCTTTACTGACGAGATGCGCATGACAATCGCATGCGATTAATTGCACAGCCCTACATTATACTATGAACTATGTCCAGTTTGTAAACTCTGTTTTATTCACCTAATCAG